GGCGCCCGGCGGGGCGGCCGCGGCCCCCGAGGCCTTCCTCACACCCGTGTCTTTTTGTTGAGGCGAATCTCATTAGGGAGCCCCTGGTGGTATTTGTTTGCGCGACTACGGGCCAGGGAGACCCTCCTGACAACATGAAGGTAAGGCTCTTGCTGTGGCTCCCGCACCTTCACCCTACTTTGGTCGGGGAGCCCAAGACCCACAGTAAATACCTGTCTTTGGGGCTGGGAAGGTGGCTCAGTGGTAGAGCGCTTGCCTTGCATGCCTGAGGCCCTGGGTTCGATTCCTCAGCACCACATAAGCAGAAAAAATAAAGCCAGGAGGCGTGCTGCGGCTCAAGTGGTAGAGCGCTAGCCTTGAGCTGAAGAGCCTCTGAGGGACAGCGCCCAGGCCCAGAGTTCAAGACCCACGACCGGATCCTCCCCCCCCCCAAAAAAAAGTTAAATACCCGCCTTTGACTTGACTATGTTATGCATGTTAGAAGTGGCTTTGAAAGGATCTCTTTGAGCTAAGTTCTCTAAGAAACTTCGCAGCCACCAAATAGCCATGTTGCCTGTTTGTGTCCTTATAGACTTATACTGTAGGAATCTGATCTGAGTCTTGTGTGACTCTCTTGGTTCTGTAACCTTCAGGGAACATTATTCAATTCTTTCAAACACATACTATGTTCTTGAGACTGTTTTAATGACCAGCCATCAACTCAGCAGCCACATTTGTGCTCGTACACAGTTCACACTAACAGAAGCTCAGGTAGAGCTGCAAGGAGCTTTGATGGATTGAAACCTGAAGAGGAGTGGAGACTAGACAGGGAAAATGGAGAAACCTGTGCAGAGAAGAACAGCCTTGGGGTTGGGAATGTGGCTTCATGAAGCCCTGGGTTCGATTCCTCAGAACCACATAAACAGGAAAGGCCAGAAGTGGCTTAGTGGCTCAAGTGGTAGAGCGCTCAAGGACGGTGGTAGAAGCTCTAGGACAGTGCCCAGGCCCTGAGTTCAAGCCCCAGGACTAGAAGGGGAAAAAAAAAACAGCCTTGCTCATGCAGAGTAGAAAGCAGTTCAAAATACCAGAGGGAAGGGGAAAAGAAGCAGGCATCCAGGCTGATACAAAGAGCTGGGCAGCTACAAGAGACAGATGGGCTTGAGATGAGGGCCTTAGAGGGAGGCACAGTCACATTGTACTCTAGCAAGACCTTTACCTGTTTGGGAGACAGGAAAGCAAGAGTAACTCCAGGAGATGTAAAAACAGGCACCAGGTACTGGTGGTCTGAACTGGGGTGGTAGCAGAATACAGGGCAAAGCAGACATGTTGTAGAAAAGCTTAAAGTGGCCGGGCACTGGTGGCTCACGCCTGTAATCCTAGCTCTCAGGAGGCTGAGATCTGAGGATCGCAGTTCAAAGCCAGCCCGGGCAGGAGAGACCGTGAGACTCCTATCTCCAATAAACCACCAGAAAACCGGAAGTGGCACTGTAGCTCAAGTGGTAGAGTGCTCGCCTTGAGCTGAAGAGCTGAGGGACAGCGCCCAGGCCCAGAGTTCAAGACCCACTACCGACAAAAAAAAAAGAAAGAAAAGCTTAAAGTGGAGTCCACAGGATGTGTGGGATCTATGGAATCTGGAGCCCGTGGCTGATGCCTGAAATGCAGCTACTCAGCTGAAATCTGAGGTGCTTGGTTCAAAGCCAGCCTGCGCTGACAAGTCCAAGAGGCTCTTTCAATTAACCAGTAAAAGGCTAAATGGACATGTGGCTCAAGTGGTAAAGAGTGAGCCTTGAGCAAAAAGTCTAAGCAAGAGCAAGAGGCTCTTGAGTTCAAACCCCAATACCTACACAAAAGGGGGGTTGTCTAGAAGACGATCCTTACCTCCTAGAAGACCTCTACTATGGATTTGGACTCTGGAGCAAAAACAGAAAAGGAGAGGACCCGATAGAGCCGTCTTCTAGAGACATCCAGGGGAGGGAGATGCAAGTAGGTCTCAACCTTCAGGAGGGTTCTGAGACAGAGGGAGTCCAGCCTCCCCTGGGATTACTGTCCAACAGGGCCATGGACAGACAGTACCCCTTCCCTAAGGTAGGATAGGGAGGCAGTATTTTCAAAAGAACTACTGCCAACAAAGCTGTGCAGAAACCAAACAAGACCTGTGAGGGGCTCTGGGATTGCGGTGATAATGAGGGAGAGAAGTGTTGGTGGCCTGTGACAAGCCAGATCTCAGGGGATCAGCCAGTGAGTGAAGGAGCTCTGCTGAGAATGTCTGGGCAGTCCCAAAAAATGGTGTTTATATGTTGGGAAGGATTTGGCATGCTAAATCCTGGAGGAGAAGGAGCTGGCTGAAGAATGGGGCGAGGAGGTACTTGTGTGGGGATCTAGATTTTCAAATGGCAGGGTTCTCAAATGGCGCGGGGGGGGGGGGCAGCACAGGGGTGGATGAAAGGGAGCAGAGGTAAGGAGCCAGTGGTGGCAATGGGAGTGTGCGGGGCCTGAGATAGTAAGGGAGAAAGAATGGATGCTTCCACCCGTAGCTTGCGTCTATAATCCTAAGTACTTGGGAAGCTGAGATCTGAGGATTACAATTTGAAGCTAGCTGAAGCAAAAAAACCTCAGACTTTTTTCTCCCAGTGACTAGCAAAAATAGTGGGCTGGAGGTGTGACTCCAGTGCTAGGACATCAGCCACACGTGAAAAACCCAAGCAAGAGTGTGAGGCCCTTTAGCCAGGCGCAGTGGCTCACGCCTGTAATCCTAGCTACTCAAGAGGCTGAGATCTGAGGATCGAGGTTCAGGAAAGTCCGTGAGACTCTTGTCTCCAATAAACCACTAGAAAACCAGAAGTAGTCCTGTGGCTCAAGTGGCAGAGCACTCACCTTGAGCTGAAGAGCACAGGGACAGCGCCCAAGCCCAGAGTTCAAGTCCCATGACCAACCAAAAAAAAAAAAAGAACGTGAGGACCTGACTCCAGCCCCAGTACTAATACTGGGCAGGGGAGAGGGGGAGGCCTGGGGGAGTATTACTTTTGTTCTGTCCTGTCTGCTTCCTACCTGGTCCTCTCCGTCTCCCAAGACCCTCCCTCCATCCCTGCCTCAGACATCATAGGGCCAGCCTGAGCTGGGAGTCCTGACTCAGTTTCCTGTGGCTGCAGAACTTCTGGAGGTTCATATTCCGGAAGAGCCTGCCATCGGCCTCCCTCTGTCAGATGGACTTTGCTGTTCTTGGCCTTGGGGACTCTTCATATGCCAAGTGAGTAGGGGGCAGATGGGCATGCTGGTCAGTACCTGGCCAGACAGTACAGGTCTCAGGGTCATAAAGAAGACCGAGGGGCTGGGCAGGTGGCTTAGTGGCAGAGCACCTGTCAGCATGCATGAAGCCCTGGGCTCACTTCCTTGGTACCACATACACAGAAAAAGCTGGAAGTGGCACTGTGGCTCAAGAGGAGGTAGAGCACTAGCCTTGAGCTGAAGAGCTCAGGGATGGCCCAGGCCCAGAGTTCAAGACCCATGACTGACCAAAAGAGATTGATAGGCAGCCCAACCTCATGATGCAGAATTTGTAGGCTTCATGAGCCAGGTGCTGGTGGCTCGTTCCTAAACCATAGCTACTCAGAAGGCTGAGATCTGAGGATTTTGGTTCAAAGCCAGCCTGGGCAGGAAGGTCCTTAAGACTCTTCTCTCTAGTTAACCACTAAAAACCTGAAAGTGGAACTGTGATGCAAATGGTAGAGCTCCAGCCTTGAATAAAAAAGCCAAGGGCGAGCACGAGGTTCTGAGTTCATGCTCCAGTACTGGATCATTAAAAAAAACCAAAAAACAACCCTCCCCCATGGACATACTGGCCCTCACAACAGAAGAAGACAAGATTGGGGAGGGAGCAAGGCAGAGAGGGAACCCAGGGCTGGGTGGCGCTCCGGCCTTGCACCTAATTCCAACACGAGACAAACGTCCGATCAACCTGAAGCTGTCCTCTCCCAGTACACCTGAGAGATGTTCCCAGTTTGGAAAGAGAGCTGGCTCTCCTGCCTACGCTAGAGGCCCTTCCTGGCAGGGTTTTCCTGACAGAAAGTCAGGCCCCTGAGCAAGTAGTGCACCTTCGCATCAGGTCCTAAGGAGATAATGAGGGCTGTGGGGTCAGGTGCCACCTGTCCAGGGGGCCCCTGACCACTCAGCACTGGGTCCCTTTCCAGTGCCCCCTCAAACTGTGTCTGCCATCTTGAGCACTTTAGATAAAGAAAGCAAAGGGTAGGGAAACAGACGGCCACATGACTGTTCTGTGAGGCTGTGTGCACACACTTCCAGGAGGTGGGAGGTGGAAGGGGTCCCAGCTGCCGCCAGCCCTCAGGGGTGTCTCCCCTAAGACAGCCCCTCGCCCTCCAACTCAAGGAGCACCCGCAGGGTGGACAGTGACACAGGTCCTCCACACGGCCTCGTTCCTGCCTTGTTCCTAGTGTTGGTGGCTGCTTGAGTCGCCGTCACCTCCAGAGTGCTCCCACTTAGGTGGGGCCAATGTGGATCCCTGAGGAACCTCTGCTTGAGCTCTGCTCTGTGCTGGGTGGCTGACTAGCACCGCCCTCCCCGCTCCCAACCCCCTCCCCCCCCACCCGGGCTCTGCCTCTGTCCCCTCAGGTTCAACTTTGTGGCCAAGAAGCTGCACCGCCGACTGCTGCAGCTAGGGGGCAGCGCCCTCCTGCCTGTGTGCCTGGGTGATGACCAGCATGAGCTGGGGTGAGTACCAGCAGTGCCCCCCGCCCCCCATTAGCAGAGGAGCAGTTTTATACTCAGCTAGTGCCTGTGCCTGCCCTCCCCAGACCTGACGCGGCCATTGACCCCTGGCTAGGAGACCTGTGGGAAAAGGTGTTGGGGCTGTATCCAGTGCCCCATGATCTTGCCATGATCCCTGCCGGAGTCCCGTGAGTGTGAAGCTGGGGTTAGCGCCAACAGTAGTGCCTGCTCTGCCCAGTTGGGGAGGGAGGGGTGAGGAGGAGGCCCCCCCTGACCTCTGTGCCTCTCCACAGCCTACCTTCCAAGTTCATTTTCCAGTTCCTCCACCAGTCCCCCAGCAGAAGCTCCCAGGAACTGCACAGCGCCAGCCCAGACCCCCAGGAGCCCCCGTCAGAGCTGCAGCCCTTCCTGGCGCCCATGGTTGCTAACCAGAGGGTCACAGGCCCCTCACACTTCCAGGATGTTCGTCTGATTGAGTTTGACATCACAGGCTCTGGCATCAGGTGGGCAGCTGAGCACAGCTTGGGTCCACAGGGGGTGGGTTGGGGTGAGGGCACCAAGGTAGGCAGGACAGATAGGCGGTACATCTGTGGTTGAGCAGAATCTGCCAATGCTAGGGGCCGGTGAGAGGGCTGTGGGCTTGAGGACTACTGGCTCTCCACGGACAGCTCCCTCCTCATTCCCCTCCTCCTAATCCCAGAGTAGACACCCCTCCCTGATCCCGCACCAGCCCCACAGCCCTGGTGGCTTTCCCACAGCTTTTCTGCTGGTGATGTTGTGCTGATCCAGCCCTCAAATTCAGCTGATCATGTGCAGCAGTTCTGCCAGGTGCTGGGCCTGGACCCTGACCAGTGCTTTGTGCTGCAGCCACGGGAGCCAGGTGAGTTGGGACCGGGCCTTGTGGCTGGTGCTGAGTCTACCCCCACGTCCCACCTGACCGCCCCCCACCGGCCCCTGCAGGCACCCCCTGCCCACCGGGACTGCCGCAGCCCTGCTCTGTGCAGCACCTTGTCTCCCACTACCTGGACATTGCCAGCGTGCCTCGCCGGTCCTTCTTTGAGCTCCTGGCCTGCTTCTCCCCACACGGGCTAGAGCGGGAGAAACTTCTGGAGTTCAGTTCTGCCCAAGGCCAGGAGGAGCTCTGCGAGTATTGTAGCAGACCCCGCAGGACCATCCTGGAGGTGAGCTACAAAGCAAGTTAGGCAAGCGCAGGACCGTGAGCCATGCATGGCATGCCACATAGCCAGGGCGTAGGGCAGGACCCTGAGCCACGGCACGGCATGCCACACAGACTGCTTCTGCCCAGGTGCTCTGTGACTTTCCTCACTCCGCGGGCGCCATCCCCCCAGAGTACCTGTTGGACCTCATCCCACAGATCCGGCCACGGGCCTTCTCCATTGCCTCCTCCCTACTGGTAAGGGCCCTGTGGGCAGAGCTGAGGACGGACCTGGGAAAATTAGGAGGGGCGAGGTGTTAGCAGGCAGGGTCCTCCCTCTGAGCAGGAGCAACCTCGCTTTGGGAGCTGTCTGCCCCTGGTAGGTGGGCAGCAGGCAGCAGTGGCCTCACAAGGCAGGGTGCCCACTGTCCCCCAGGTTCACCCCGTGAGATTGCAGATTCTCGTGGCTGTGGTACAGTACCAGACTCGCCTCAAAGAGCCCCGCCGGGGCCTCTGCTCCTCCTGGCTGGCATCCCTGGACCCTGCACAAGGTGCCTCCTGCTGCTCGGAGGGTGGTAGAACCAGCTACACAGGAGTCCTTCCCCAGACCCCTATGAGAGCTGGACCTGGGTCTCAGCAGCCTCCTTGGGCCTCTTCATGACACCTAACCCCGCTGCAGGACCTGTCCGGGTGCCCCTGTGGGTGCGGCCTGGGGGTTTGGCCTTCCCAGAGACACCAGAGACACCGGTGATCATGGTGGGGCCTGGCACTGGTGTGGCCCCATTCCGAGCGGCTATCCAGGAGCGTGTGGCCCAGGGTTGGACCGGTGAGTGCAGGGTTCCTGGGGCAGGGATGCTGCCTGGGTGAACCCCAGAGGGCAGCTCCCAGACTGGGACCCACACTGCATCTCCAGGAAACTTCTTGTTCTTCGGCTGCCGCCAGCGAGACCAAGACTTTTACTGGGAGGCTGAGTGGCAGGAGCTGGAGAAGAGGGGCTGCCTGACCATGGTCACCGCCTTCTCCAGGGAACAGGTGTGTGTGCTCAGGCTCCAGGGAACAGGTGCGTGTGCTCAGGGCTCCAGGGAATAGGGGTGTGCGTGCGTGTGCGCGTGTGTGTGTGTGTGCGCGCACGCGCATGCACGCGCGCGCGCTCAGGACTCCAGGGAACAGGTGCTTGTGCTCAGGGCCCCAGGCTCCAGGGAACAGGTGCGTGTGCTCAGGGCTCCAGGGAACAGGTGCGTGTGCTCAGGGCCCCAGGCTCCAGGGAATAGGTGTGTGTGCTCAAGGCTCCAGGGAACAGGTGCTTGTGCTCAGGGCCCCAGGCAAGACAGACAAGGGAAAGGCTCTCAGTCCCCCTCTGCCTCCCACAGGACCGAAAGGTGTACGTGCAGCACCGGCTCCGGGAGCTGGGCCCACTCATCTGGGAGCTGCTGGACCGTCGTGGTGCCTACTTCTACCTCGCAGGGTGAGCCCGGGGCCAGCGTGGCGGGGGCTCGTGTGGCGGGGCCAGCGTTGCTGAGCTCTCTGCAACCTGCTCCTCTAGCAATGCTAAGCGCATCCCAGTGGACATCGCAGAAGCCCTGACATCCATCTTCCAGGAGCATGGTGGGCTCTCTGAACCGGATGCTGCCGCCTACCTAGCCAGGCTCCAGCGGACGCTGCACTTCCAGACGGAGACCTGGGCCTGAGGACGCCTGCCAATCCTCAGGCTTCCCCTGGGGAAGCCTCCGGCAGGCAGCCATCTTGACCTGGCCTTACCTGGTTCCAGATCCCTCATCAGACCCAGGGTGTGGCTCTAGGCCCCACGAGGGGGCCCAGGGCCCCTCAGCCCTGACCCACTACAGCCTGCACCCCTGGATGCCCTTTAGTCCCTCTTGCCCCATCCCCGGTGAGAATCCCACCCTTCCATCCTGGTTTCGGGGGTCTGCACAGCCAACCCCTCCTCGCTGGTACAGGAGGAGCCTGGCCTGGTAGGCAACAGAGCCGCTGAACCTCTGAGGGACGTGGGTGCTGGCAGCTGCAGCCTCTACTTCAGCATGCAGCGACCTTAGCACCTCAGGGCTCAGGCCCCGCTGGGCAGCCACCTGTGCCTCAGCTTCCTGAGCACCCGGAAGAGATGGACCTCACTCTTCCCCTGGTCCCAAAACAGTGTCAGTAAACGTGGTTTCTGGCCCAGCTCCACCCTGCTTTTAAACCTCACGAGCTCTTCTGGTGCTGGGCGGGAGGAGGGGGTGGGGTGATGACCTCACACTGTATGCATGTGTGGGGCGGGAGGGTGGGGTGATGACCCTCACACCATGTACACACGTGTGTGGAACTTCTACTGTGGCACTGCCAACTGCCTCTGCCCACTCAGCTGCTCTGTCTAACCCTAACACCATGGGCCCGCTCAGTCCTGAAAACAGCTCAGCCAAGTCCTCAGCAGAGGGGCACCATCTGGAAGGTTCTGGCCAGGTGCTGGGGTGGGCGGGCCATCATGGGGCGGTGGAGGGGCGTGGTGTGCATGGCCCCGCCCCTGGGCAGGGCTGCCTTGTCTGCCGCAGAAACCTCGTTGGAGGAGTCTGGCAGGTTGGTTGTTGATCAGCAGAGTTGAGGAGTGGCCATCGTGTCAGTTGTCCACACCAGGACAACTGACCCCAAGCCTGGCTGGGGACACCGTGGCACAAACCAGGGGATAGAAGAGCTGGCCAGCCACCTGCGGAGGCCCAAATGAAGTTTACTCCCCGTGGGGCCCGGGAGCCCAGAGGTGCAGTTGGAGGTCAGTGCTCCAGTGAGCAGTGGGTGGAGCCCACGCACTGCCCAGCCCCTGAGGGCCACGCTGACCTTCACAGCCCCGGTCATTCCCCCCGCCAGCCTGAGGCCTCTGTCCATGGCACTGACTTGGGTACTGGGGGTCTCACCCCGAGCCTCAGCTCTGCAGCTGGCAGTCGGCCTTGCGTCTCTCCAAGCCCCAAGCGCCTGGACCCACAGTGCCGCCTTGCAGCCAATTCGGGAGATGACCTTGGGGCCCCACAGGGCTCCAGAACTCCAGACAGTGAGCCGCTGCTGGGGGACAGAGACGAGGCTGGTGCTGGGTCCCTGACGGCATCACAGGAGGGAGAGGAGGACCCCGGGGAAGGTGACTGCCCCATCTGCACAGAGCCCTACAGGCCTGCAGAGTGCCAGCAGATGCAACTGAACTGCGGCCATAGCTTATGCATGGGCTGCCTGTACCAGCTGTTGGGCATGGCTCCTGGTGCTGACCTGGGCCATGTGCGCTGCCCAGTGTGCTGACAGAAGACACCCATGCTGGAGTGGGAGATCTGCCGCCTGCAGGAGGAGCTGCTGGAGGCTGATGGGCCTCAGCAGCCACCCCCACCTTTGGCCCCACCCCCTCTCCGGGGCCCTGGGGTGCCCTAGAGCACCGCTACCACCTGCGTTTCCTGGCTGGGCCTGTGGGTGGCCGGGGCTGCCTGCCCTTCCTGCCCTGCCCACCCCGCCTGGGCACCTGGTTGTGGGCTCTGTGCCCGCCGCCTGGCGCTGCTGAGCCTGCTGGTACTTGAGCTACTGGGACTGCTGCTCATCTTTATGCCCCTCGTGCTGCTGGGGGTGCTTTTCATGCTCTTAGACCGCTCGGCCCACTGAGCAAAGCCCAGGATGGCCCTGGACACCAGGGGCCTGCTGACCAGGCTGAAAGCCTACGTTCAAACCCAAGACTCTGGCCTTCAATCAAGACCTGCCATTTCTGAACCTAAAACCAGGGCTCAGGGCCACCCAAGAGCCTGACCCAGCCATAGAGCCTATGCTACCCTGCAGCCCAGACACTAGCCCAGCCCAAGGACAAGCGCTGAGAAAGGCTGGCCTCTAGCTTGCCGTGCTGAGCACTGCACCGGCCCCAGGCAGACACTGGGCCACACCTCCCCCTTCCAAGGCAGACGGGCCTAGCAGGTGTACACTCCAGCTGTGGGCCCGTTCCCTCGACAGGACGGGCTACAAATCTCCCCCATCCCACCAAGCCCCTCCCCACCCACCCCACCCCCTTGCCGTATTCCAGGACAAACCAAAATTGGTGTGTCCCTGAAAGCTGAGGCAGCTGGCAGGAGGTCCCTTCACTGTACATGTTCAGCCTGCCAGAGTTCCTCCAGGCTTCACCACCATCTGGACCAGGACCAAAGGGGTCAGCCCAGAGCAGCGGGGCTGACACAAGGCCTGCGCGGCAAGGGTCCACCCACGCCTTGGAGCCCCAGCTCCACCCCGACTGCCTGGACACCTTATGCCACTGAGCCTAGGGCCTCATCTGAAGAACGGAGCTATCCGGAGCCCACCTACAGCTTTGTTCTTTTTTTGTCAGGGGACTTGAACCCCGGGTCTGAGCTCTTTTGCTCAAGGTGCACACTCTACAACTTTTGAGTCACAGCTCCCCTTCTGGCTTTCTGGTGGTGCACTGGAGATGAGTCTCACAGACTTCCTGCCCGGGCTGGCTTTGAACCACGATCCTCAGATCTCGGCCTTCTGAGTAGCTAGGATGACAGGCGTGGGCCACCAGTGCCTGGCAACCTCACAGCTTTTTGGTGATGTGGTACAGGAGTTGGGAAGCTATGGACTGAGCACTACGCCAGCACAAGACGTGGCTTGCAATAATCAATACCTGTTAATCCACAGTCAGTGACTGTCCTTACTAATACCCCACCTGTACTGTCCAGACATCTCTCTGCAATGGTGTTTTCTCAAAACCCCAGTGTTCAAGTGTCTGGCAGGAGACCCCAAGGCCTTGTACCATCTCAGGTGCCATCTCAGCCACCTGCAAAGCTTTGCGCCAATGGCCCAGAGGGCCATCCTTACACATCCTGGGAGGCCCGTGTGGGGGTGGGCGGGGCGGCCAGGGAGGACCAGCTGAGTTGCCTTCATGTAGCCACCCCACTCCACTGGCCAGGAAGTTGCTCTCTTCCCAGCTGGGCTGGCTCTGCACAGGCTACCAGCCCTCACATTTGCACACATTTGCCAAACCCAGGTCTCCGGGCAGCATGGTCGGCTCAGCTTGCCCCCAACAAGCAGAGCTGCGCCTCCCTCTGATGGCTCCAGGCTTGACCCCGTCTGGACTGTGGTCCTGGGCACCCACCCTAGGCCTATGCCGGGCACAGCCCACAGGGGCTAGCTTCAGTCCAGGTCACGGGTGCAAACTTTGGCAAAGAGTTTTAATGGCAAAGTTGGTTGCAGCGACAATGCCACGCAGGGTAGGGCCAGAAGCCACGGTGGGTGAGGAAGGGTCAGTGGGCAACAGGGCAGGGCTGGGTCCCTGAATAGCATCGAGCGAGGGCCGGTGGTCAGCAGCGGGCAGGTGGATGCTACATGATGGAGCAGGCGGACAGTGGGTTCCTCACGTGGCAGGTGCATGCCGCCCCGCAGTACTGCCGGAAGGTCTGGTAGCAGCTGCCCTCGGGCTCACCCCCCCACTGGCCTCCGGACGGGGCGGTCAGCGCCTCGGGTGGCAGGCGGCTCAAGATGGACGTGTTGACGGCCAGGGCGGCAAGTCCGTAGTCAGTGAAGAGCACAGTCTCCCGCCGGCAGGTGGGACAGGAGATGAACTTGTACTTGGGGCAAGACTCATAGAGGATCTGCAGGCACTGCTCACACACAGAGTGCAGGCAGGACAGCACACGGGGCCGCCGCTGAGTGACGTTGTACGTGTGCCCACAGGTGGGGCACTCGAGTGGCTCACCGGCCGCCCCTGCCCCCGACAAAGGTGCGGCCGAGGCAGTGGGGCCCGGCCGCATCACGTACTGATTCACAATGACCTCGTCTGCCGGTGCCACTCGGGGAAAGCCCAGCTCCGCGCTGCCCTTGCGTGGCCCCCGTGGCATGGGTGGGGTGTGGGGCACCCCTTCTAAGGCGGGCATGTCCCCGCCGCACGCCTGGTTGACAATGATCTCTGTGTCGGAGGGCCAGGCGCGCTTGGGCGCCAGAGCGGGGGTGGGCCGGGGTGCAGGTGGGAAGCAGGGGGAGGCCCCGGGGAGCTCGGGGAACTTCTCAGGGTGGACGATCTTCATGGCCTCCATCTTGAGGATGACATGGGGGCCCTTCAGGCAGGACATGAGGAGGCCCGGCCAGCCACTGCCCGCCTCGGGCCCAGGGTCAGCTGGCATCCGGTTGTCTCCAGTCAGACTGGATGGTCTTGCCGGTGGAGGTGCTGGGTGGGGCCTGGGGGGGAGAGAGGGGGCAGCATCCTGGTCCTGCCAGGCCTGGTGAGGACCCCGGCCGCCCCGCGGGCTGCTAGGGGCGGCCGGTGACAGCTGGGGGGGCAGGGCCCCCCCCAGAGGCCACAGTGGCTTCTCAGGTCCAGTCTGAGGAGGAAGAGGAGGGGGAGGGAGAGGAGGAGGAGTCGGGGGAGGAAGGGGCGGGGGAGGAGGGGGCAGGCGCGGGCAAGGGGGCGGGCGAGGCTGTCCTGGGCTGGCGATCTGGCCCAGGGGCTCACCCAGGGTCTCTGTCGGCGGAGGCCGGCGAGGGGGCGCGGAGGGGCCTCCTCCGGCAGCCGAGGTCAGCAGCCCCGGGGCCGGGACATCGGCACAGGCCGGGGCTAGGTGGGCCCCATGGCTCCAGGACAGGGCGCCCAGGGAAGGCAGCTAGCCGGAGCCCTGGCGGCCGGGGGATCCGCGCTGCAGGCTCCGCGGCACCGGGAGAGGAGAGGCCTACACCAGGCCTGTGCTGCAGGTGAGAGACGGCGTGAGGGCA